GCCGGGCTGAGTGCGGGGACACCCTGCGATCCCGAACGTCCACACTGGAGCCGGGCCTGGCTGCCGACCGAGGGGGAGCGGGCGGAGGCCCCTTCTGTTCCTCCAGGGCTGGATCTGCCCCTCACCACTCCGACCACAGAGCTCAGGGCCAGGAGCGAGGCAGGGCTCGCTATGCAGAGGCCCCTCCTCCTCCAGACCCTGTGGGGGGCTCAGGAAAGGGGGGCGGCATCAGGTGTGTGCTTACACTTGCTGACTTGCAGTGAAGAGGTGAGGGTGGGGCCCAGGAAATGAGGCTGGGACGTGGAGAGCCCCCCACAGGCACACCTGTGTGTCTACACACACCCGTCCCAGGCAAGGCAGACCTGAGGTTGCTTCACCCCCAGCCCAAATACAGACTCCCACAGACCAGAAAGGGGGCTCTGGGTCTCCAGCCAAATAAATCCCCCCGAAGAGTCTGAAAGCTGAGGTCTGAGTGTCCCCAGAATCTCGGACTTTAGCCCAGAGGTGTCTGTTCTGTCACCCCATCTTGCCTGGCTCAGCCTGGCTCCTGTGGCCTCGTTTGGGAACTGGGACAGGAGGGGCATCTGGTGTGGAAGCACTCGCAGCCTGTGCCAGGCGGTGCTCCCCAAAGCTCTTCCACGGGAGCCCCCCTTCAGGCGCCCTTCCCTCGGCCACAGCCTCTCCATTAAGTGAAACCCCGAAGGCACAGCCTCCACTCAGCAGGTCACCAGTGGTGACAGTGAGTGTTCATGCCCTGTCCACACCCCTCCCAGACCAATGCAGACTGGACAGAGTGGGCTAGTGGGTCCCGGAGGACAGAGAGGCCCGGAGCCCCACCTCCCAGCTGACCCAGGGACTCCCTCCCTCACCGCTTCCGTGGGTGCTGATCCCACTGGAGACATCGCCTTGTGCCCTTTGGAGCCTGACCTGGCCTCCCCCCCTCTGTGCTGTCTGCTGACCTGGACGTTGGGTGGGGCCAGTTGTGCGGGGTCTGGCCATGCTCAACCTGGGCCAGGGATGGACTCCAGCGAGGCCTCTTTTTCTTTCTCTAGAAGTTAATTTCCCAAAGGTGTGGGAACGCACCTTCAGTCTCTCGGGGGGGGGGGGGGGGGGATGTTGTTACTAGTTTGATCCTACTTAGCTGCGGGTTGTGACCACCCAGGGACCCTGGGTCCACTTGCCTTCCTCCTCCTCCACCTCTGCCCCAGGTTCATCAGCAGAGGTGACAGTGCCAGGGCAGGGGTGAGGGAAGACACAGAGGCAGCCAGTTAGCTTTGCATCAACGTTTATTATGGGCCCCCTCGGCCAGGGACTCGCCGGTGGTGGTTCTTAGCGCTGCCCTCCTGGCCCCTCCTCGCCCCCCCGAAGGCGCAGGTTCATCTGCACGGTGCAGTGGGGCGTGAGGCCGTACTCCCCCAGCTGCTGCTCGTCATCCAGGGGCTGCCCCTGGAAACTCAGCCAGAACTGGTCGACGTTCACGCTCTCCCGGTCAGCCACCTGCTCCTTGAGTTTGGCCACCTTCTGCGTCAGCTGGACCTCGTAGGCTGGGGTCTGGCCCCTGTCGTTCCTCACCAGGATGCTCAGGGGCTTGTCGCAGCTCTGCACCACCAGCACGACCTCGCTGCCGGAGCGCAGGCCCTGGTGGGCCAGGGGAACCCCGTCCTGCAGCACTGCATTGCTCCCCTGGACCAGCAGGCGCTGCCGGAAGGCAGGCACTTGGGTCTTCTGGGTGATCAGCTGCTTCAGTTCCGACAACAGCATGGAGTCCCTCATGGGCACTTGGAACTCCTTGCTCAGCATCTTCACCTTCAGGTACCCGCCCTGTGGGCATCACACAGAGCTCAGAGCCCCTGGCACCACTACACCCATGACCTTGGTCGCAGGGCAAGCTCCTAGGGCCCTGGACCCTGCTCCCCCCTCTGTGTCCTCTCCATCCACCAGGAGAGACCTCCAGTGCAGGAGACAGAGGAACAAGGGGAGGAACGGCCAGTCTCCCTTGACCATCTACTTGGTCTCCCTTCACTAGCTAAGATGTCCCCCAAAGGACCTCAGAATTAGCCACTGGGCAGAACCCACCTTCCAAGACCCAGACCCTGGTGTCAAACTTAGGAACCTGGGAGCTCGGAGCAGCTCCGCTTGCCTGGCACACAGGGAGGGAGAGAGTAATGGACTGGTGCCCAGCCCACCTGTCCAGCCCGTCACCCGCCTCACCATGGCTGTGGGCTCTGATGCCAGGTCCTCCACAGGTCCTGAGACGACGATGAGTGCACTGTCTCAGCTCCAGCTCCCTCTCCGGCAGGCCCCGGCGGCTCACCCCTTTTCTGAGCCTGAGCCGCACACGTCAGGGGGCGTGTCCGAGCAGCCTCCGAGGCACCGGTTCAGCTTCAGTTTCAGTTTCCGTTTCCCAAAGGCTCGCCTGGGAGCCAGTGGCAGGAACAAAGCGAAGGAGAACCGTAAGGAATCCTTGCAGGGACTTGCCACCCACCTGCCAGGCCCAGGGTCGGGCACCAGGCCTCCTCCCCAGGAGTGTGCATTCCAACCCCCCAAACAGCCTGCACGTCAACAAAAGCCATAATGACATGAAGTAATGATGGGAAAGTTTCACTTTCCATTTACCAACTTGCGAAAGTAACACACTTAGAACATCCTGTCACGGTTAATTCAGAAATAACACGAAACAGTGACAACCCAAACCACCAGGGATGGTCACCAATATTTGTTCAGATTTTTTTTTTTTTTAATGAAAGAGATGTACCTTTTATTTTCTACAAAAATGAACTCGTGGACATTATTGAGAAAGTGAAAAGACTACCCACAAAAATGGGAGAAAATATTTACAAATCGTATGTCAGATAAGGGTCTAGTATCCATAATATAAAAAGAAATGTTACAACTCAACAACAAAAATATTACTCAATTAAAAATTGGTCAAAGGACTTGAACAGGCATTTCTCCATAGAAAATATACAAATGGGCACAGCCTCATGAAAATATGCTCAGTATCATTGGGCACTAGGGAAATGCTAGTTAAAGCCACAACGAGATATGTCACACCCACTAGCATGACTATAAATAATAATAATCTATAATAATAAAAGCATAACATGCTAATTAGACCAGACGACCTTCCAGGCGAAGCCAGGGCTGCAAGGGAAGCCTGGGTCCCGGGTGCCAGAGGGAAGCCGGTGCCGGCAGCCGGGGGAAGGAAGGCCTATTCTTGCATGAATTTCGTGCACCGGGCTACTAGTAATTAATAATAGAACAAGTGTTAACGAGGATGTAGAGAAACTGGGACTTTCATAGGTTGCTGATGAGAATGTGAAATGGCGCAGCTGCTATGGAAAACAGACATTCCTCAGAAAGTTAAACAGCCCTAGCTGGTGTCTCAGTTGGTCAGAGCGGCATCGTGTGCACCGAAGGGGCTGGTTCAACTCCTATATGGGGCACATAACCAGGTTTTGGGTTCGATCCTGGGTCAGGGTGAGTACTGGAGGCAACTAATCCATGTTCCTTTCTCTTTCTCCCCCTTTTGCTCTCCATTTCTCTCTTTTGAATCAAAGAAAAATATACCCTCTGGTGAGGGTTAACAACAACAAAAAGTCAAAGAGTGGCAAAAACAAAATGTTTTGAATATGAATCTTTAAATATGTTTTTTATTAATTTTTAGAGAGAGAGGAAGGGAGAGGGATAGATAAACAGAAACATTATATGATGAGAGAGGAACATCATTGATCGGCTGCCTCTCACACACCCCCCTACTGGGGATCAAGCTTGCAACCTGACCAAAATCAACTAGCAGTGATGGCGAACCTTTTGTGCTCGGCGTGTCAGCATTTTGAAAAACCCTAACTTAACTCTGGTGCCGTGTCACATAGAGAAATTTTTTGATATTTGCAACCATAGTAAAACAAAGACTTCTATTTTTGATATTTATTTTATATATTTAAATGCCATTTAACAAAGAAAAATCAACCAAAAAAATGAGTTCGCATGTCACCTCTGACACGCGTGTCATAGGTTCGCCATCACTGAACTAGTGACTTGGTTCCTGGGTCGACAGTCAACCACTGAGCCACACCGTCTGGGCTGAATATAAACCTTGACCATTCCTCCCCTCCATCTCCCAAAACTCTGATAAGGCACCAAAATTGTTAACACACACAAAAATGATTTTTAAAAACTTTTTAAAAATTATTTTAAGTTATATCTTGCCCCATTCCTTGCATAAATAATATTGGATATATATACACCACAAAGAGGAAAAACAAAAACAAACAAAAAAGAAAACCACAAACATTTTTTGAAACAATAAAAAGAATACACAGAAAGTTAAAACGCCCTAACCTCCCCATGACCATTCTTAAACATGCTTTATATGTCTGCTGATTTCTTTCCCTTTTTTTCTTTATTGATTAAGGTATTACCTATGTGTCCTTATTGCCCCATTGCCCCCCCCCCCACCCCACCTCCACTCATGCCCTGCTGATTTCTTGATACGTGACATTCGGGTATTTTTAGTTCCTTTGTCCCCTGTGACCAAATGTCTTCTGCTGTCAACAGGAGGACCTGAAAACCACAGAGGCAAACTGACAGAACCTGTGGAGTACATGTTTCAAACAACCACAAACCCGTGGCTTAAAACAACAGAAATGTATGCCCTCACAGCGCTGCAGACCAGGGGTCTGAAATCAGGGGGACTAAATGACCATGATTAAAAAGAGTCTGATTTTATGTGGTTTACAGAAGACAAGAATCATCTGAAATATAAAGATACAGGAAATTTAAAAGGGGATGGAAAGCGACATGTCATACAAATATTAACTAAAAGGACGTGGAAGTGGCACAGCCGGCGGGGCTCAGTGGCTGAGTGTCAACCTATGAACCAGGAGGTCACCATTCGAGTCGGTCAGGGCACATGGCTGGGTTGCAAACTCGATCCCCAGTGTGGGATGTGCAGGAGGCAGCCGATCAATGATTCTCTCTCATCATTGATGTTTCTCTCTCTCCCTCCCTCTCCCTTCCTCTCTGCAATCAGTAAAAGTACATTAAAAAAAATATTAGGTTGCACCTAACAACATGGACACAAAATAGTTAAGTTCTGGTCCCAAACCTTAATATTCTATTTATGAAATCACAACAGCCTCATAAAGGGGCCTTTGGTTAATATTGGGGCTTATTTATAAACGAACTTAAACTTCCTTAAACCTTTAAAACAGCATATGTAACTTAATATTCTTGACTACAGGCCCGGTACATGAATTCGTGCACGGGTGGAGTCCCTCCACCTGGGTCAGGCTGGGGGGCGGGGACCATGGGAGGTTGGTGGGCCTCAGGAGGTAGGCTGTGGGAGCGCACTGACCACCAGGGGGCAGCTCCTGCATTGAGCGTCTGCCTCCTGGTGGTCAGTGCACCTCATAGCGACTGGTTGACCGGTCATTCAGTCGCTTAGGCTTTTATATATATGGATTGTATTTTGAAGCCCTTCACATATATAACAGCCGCAGTGACCAAACACCTTCCCAAGTACCTCTCATCCTCACCACTCACCCCTGCACACTTGGCCCAGGGCACCATCTCCTCTCACCTGGGCTCCTGCAGGTACAGCCTAGTGGTCCTGCTTCTGTCCCTCTCCCCATGGTCCCCAGAGTGATAAGCTGGCCACACACGGGGACAGTGGCCATCCTGGCTCCTTCTCATTTCCTTTCCTCTGGCACTTGGCTCGCTCTTGCCCCAGTTCCTGGCACTGCCTGTCCCTCTTTCCGGAATGTTCCCTGCACCTCCCCCACCCCCCCAAGATATAGGTGGCTCACTTCCTGCACCTCCTTCAGTCACAGGCCTGAGGAGACTCCGGGAGGAGGCATCCCTCCCTCTCTGGAAAGGGGTCCAGGCAGCACCTCCCTGCCTCAGTCCCCCTGCCCCCCCCTCCCGTTCTCTTGCCTGCTTCCTGGGCAGTAACAGTGTCGCCGACATGTGTCCAGTTCTATGTTCTGGGTGTTTCCGAAGTAGGATCTCAGTCATCTTCCCAATGACCCCGGGAAAAAGAGAAAGATAACCTATCGCACAGGCCAGGAAACAGGGACAGGGGCGAGTCCAGCTGACAACTCTAATGGAAAGAAAGGTCATTACAGGGCTCCCAGGCCAGTCTTTCCCATCTGAACTGTCTGCCTATCTGGTCTCTGTGGGCCGCTGGGGTGGTCCAGAACCCCCCAGACTGGTCCCAGCGCCCCCCCTCCAGGAAGTGCGGGTCCCCAGCTTCTCCCCAAGAGCCTAGAAGGAGGAGAAGGTCCAGGTGGCCCCTGGGGCGCGGAGTGGGGGCTGCAGGTCTGGGAGACCTCCTGGCCGGCAGGCCTAGTCCGAGCAGGCACTGGACCCATCAGTGCTTCCAGGAGGTTCTGGGTGGATCTGTCTGTCACCCAAGTCTTCCCAGCACCCCCTGCCCAGCTCCACTGGCTCCTCTGGGGCAGTAGAAGGAGGGGGTGGGGGCGGCCTCACCTTCATGAGCGGCAGCTGGGCCTGAGGCCAATCTGGAGGCCCGCACCCCCGTACCCCCGTGTAGGCACGTGTGTGTGGCAAGGAGGATCTGAGCGCCTCCCGCCACACCTGGTGCCCCAGAATGACCTCCGATGGGGCCGGCTTAGCGCCAGGATACCAGAGGCTTCCCGGAGGCAAGCGGGGCTTGACTGGGATCCCGGGCGGGTGCTGGGGCAGGGCCGCCCTAGACGCCACCACTAGGCAGGCTCCCAGCAGGCGAGGTGACCCTTGGGCGCAGCCAGTCGGCTCTCTCTCTGGATCAGAAAAGCCCCTCGAGGCTCCCCCTCCCCCCTCTGGGGCCGGAAGCCCCCTCGGCCCCTCCCCCGTCCCTCTGATTCCGGGTGCGCCCCTTGCAGCCTCGCTTGCCGCCTACTTCCCTGAAGACCCCCGGACGCCCCAGCGGGAGAAGGGCTTCCGCTCCCCCAGCAACCCCCGCACCGCACCCCAAGTCCGTCTGTCCCTACAGCGGAGCAGTGATTCTGTTCATCCGCCTGCCTCCCTCCGGTTACAAGTCCCAAGGCCAGGCCGGCTCGTGGGCCTTGGAAACATGGGCAACGGCCGGAGGCCCCAGGACACAATAGCGCTCCCGCGACACAATTCAAAATGAAAACCACGTCAAACACGAAACTAAGCCTCGCCCAGCCCTGGCCGGTTTTGCTCAGTGGATAGAGCGTCGGCCTGCAGACTGAAGGGTCCGGGTTCGATTCCCGTCATGCCCTGGGTTGCGGGCTTGATCCCGGGTGTGGGACCTGCAGAGGCAGCCGATCCATGATTCTCTCTCATCATTGATGTTTCTGTCTCTCTCTTCCTCTCTGAAATCAATATTTTTTAAAAAGAAAATAAGCATAGCCCCGTTTCCCCACTTTGTCTCTTTAAAATAAACAAAACCGTAGCTGTTGTCCCTCCACGTTGCTGGGGCTGACCCTGAAGTCCTGAAACCCAGGGTGTGACATCACCAGTCCCATGAGTCACCCCATTGGCTCGTGTCATCACCTACCTTCACCCTGAGACAATCATCTCTGATTATCTGGTGACCTCGCCAGCCTCACCTGGGACAGGTTTACCTTCTGTCTGATGACGTCATCCTATCTGACTGGTGACGTCACTC